TTTCTTCTTACAGGTTTTTGCTACTGTTACTCCTCTCCCAGGATCACAACGGCACCAACCGGCCCCTAGAGGAGACACAGACTGCTGCAGAGCCAATTCTACAGAACTAGAGTATCAACATTTTAGTCCTTTTAACTGTCTCTCTGTTATTCAGGTGTAACGCTCTAAAACAGTCTTGGTGATGTTCCAGGTCTCACTGCATCGTCACACAGTCCTCCAGTGTGTTTTAATTTGAAGACTTACAAGCTGACAACAAGGAGCAGCGCTGCCAGCTGACTCAGTGTGGTTCCAGTTCCACGGGTCCTTGGTAGCTCACCAGGAGACAGCAGTTCACCTATATCTGATTTATGCTGCCAGCTAGTTTAAGAGGAATTACAGAGTCAAAGATGTGAAACTCCTTTACTCTTCGAATAACTCGTTCCACAATAATCCTCACTCGGGCGATGGCTTGTGTTCGCTCCGTCCCCTCTTTAGTAAACTGAGCTTTGTGTTTGAAAAGGTGGAATAATGAGTTTTACCCCACAACAAATTTTCAATATGAAAACCCTTGTCTGCCATGACCTCATCCCCACGCTCCAGAAGATCCCTGATACCAGACAACCTTGTGATCTCCTAGTCTAAGATTGAACAGCTTGGAGACAAAGGTAACGACCCCACTTGGAGGAACCCCAGTGAGACCCTTGAATGCTGTGTGGGATTTGTACATTGAAAAAGTTTCAGCGTTTGGTGACTCAACTCTGGGGGAAGGTTCTGTCTCACTTGTTCCCATGTCATCCATATCGGTATTGAACCAAGGACTGCATACAAGTAGTTGGCCCATGTGATGATGATGATGATGGTGATGAAGATCCTGCTGACACGCTCCTTTAAACCAGCTGCAGTGCGCACGGAATACATGAACTCATCTATGAGCTGCAGCTTACGGGATGGACTTGGTGTTGCCTGTCCAGCAGTCTCTGTTCCCATTTTCTGTGCTTTGCTCCAGTAGACGAGTCTGCTATTGAGCCACCTCAATAGATCTCCAAAAACCAGTGAAATAGGAGAACAGAATGGAATAGAATAGAAAGTAGATTGATCAGCAGGACTGTGTGGTCAGTAGTTTGATCAGCAGGACTGTGTGGTCAGTAGTTTGATTTGCAGTGCTGTGTGGTCAGTAGATTGATCAGCAGTGCTGTTTGGTCAGTAGATGGATCAGCAGAGCTGTATGGTCAGTAGTTTAAGTGCTGTGTGGTCAGTAGTTTGATCCATGTCCAGGCCCGCTTGAAGAGATGGGCTCGGGCACAGTACACATCTAGTGTGATCTAGTGTAACCATGAGCATATCTGGGTCTGATTCTCAGCTTATTGAAGAGTAAAGCTGCAATTTCCCCCTCAATATCAGCTGCTTCAGTAAAAACCTTCTAGGCATCAAAATTAACAGAGAATCGCTGCACTGCATCATCGATAAGCCTGTAAGGCAGGTAAGAGGGCCGTGTGTCAGCACCCAAAACAACCCTGCTTTTCTTCAACACACACACTCACATCGTGATGACGTCAGTTTGCTCACAGCTGGACCGTTAAGAGCAATGTGAGCGCAGGCCGGCGAGGGAGTGGGGAGGGGGGACAGTCGTACTCGGGCCCAGTACAAGGCAGCTAGGCATAGTGTGAGTACACATTAAATCATAATGAACTGCCCTAATAATTAGTTTTCTCTTACCTACTAAGTCCTTCTCGGTAGTTAATAGTAGTGACTTAGGTGTCAATACAGCACTATCAGTTCTAGAGCTCTTACATTTTCACTGTCATGAAAGGCTAAAAATGGAGTAGTAAAACAGGATTTTTGATGAGTAACTTAGCAACTCTAACAACTCAAACAACTCTAATATCATTATTATTTAAGACCTACAGCATGACAGAACTCTAGAGGGCAGTATAAAACCTGTGTTTTACATTTTGGTCAGAGGTTCTGGTCTGTTTTGATGTGCAACTTCTTCAAAAAAGACAAGTAAAAACGAAATACAGGAAAACTGGTGTGGAAATCTGGAATTTTATATCTTAAAAACATTGACAGATCTTCAGTCAAAGTCAGACAGTGGAGTTTGGGTTGTTCAGAGATGAAAATATAATACTTTCTGTTTTCCCACAGCATCTACAGTTCAACTCCAGGGCACCTCCTGATCGTATTTAGGGGGCGTAATCAATAATCTAGATTTTTCAACAAAAAGATTTTGTGAATTCATTTTTGAATATGGATCTATTTACACGAAGGACCAGTTTCTCACACATGGATTAAGCCTAGTCTTAGACTGAAGTGCCAATGATGAACCATTGAAAAAATTCTTTTTAGTCCTGGTTTAGGCCTAATCTGGGTCTCTGAGCCGGGTCTGTAATGTGCTAATCCTGGTTTTGATATGTTTGTGTTTTTTTCTGTAAAGCTTGTATGAGAATGTCGCCCCCCTCTGGCACAAATGAAAACTGTTTTAGATTTACTGAATGTTCCTGTAAAACAGCCACAGCTTTCAATAATGAAAATATCGATATTTTCATATGATGAAAAATACTGCAAATATTGACTGAGGCTGCTCAAAACCCAGACCCTCTGTTAAATTCACAACACTGATTTCAGCACAGCAAGTAAAACACTCAGAGAAGCTGAAACCAGAGACAGTTAAAATGCTCATGTTTCTGATCAGAGACTTATAGACTAACTTTGTCTTTGGTATTGATTAGTATTTACTGTAAGGTTTAATATGTCACACTTTTGCAGCCTACGAATCATATTTTGTTAAAATAATACAGTGGCTAAATTTTGTCATGTTAAGTTGGCCTATTGGGTATTAAGTATGGAGGCACATCAGTAACAACATTAAAATGAAAATATAAGATACGTGTTTGTGCATGTTTGCGCTTACATTTCTCACTTATATGCAAAGTTGGGCTCAAATTAGAATTCAGTTCAGTCCGGCCATTTTAATTCACCATTTGTTACACTAATATTGACATTTCGGTACCACTTTAAAATAAGACTACCTTTATAAAGGGTTTATAAATGGTTTAAAAATGGGTTTATTAATGGTTATGAATTAGGTTATAAACACCTTAAAAACCATTAGTAAGCAGTTATAAGACATAAGTAGAAAGGGCAACAGCGGCCTGTTGTTTGCCAAATAGTGAGCCCACATCCATTTTTACTGTTAAACTTCAGATCTTGTCGGATTCTAATCTTACTTTGTCTTCTCCATCAGTCAGCATTTGACCTGTCAGCTTCATCACATATTTGTTGATAAGTTTAACCATTTAAACACCAATCGATATTAATAATGATGAGACATACATTAACACCTGAAATGACTAAATTCATATTCATAAGGCACTATTCTGTAACTTGACATTTTTAGCATACTATCTGACATCTTCCTCATGATTGTCATAAGTATTGATATAATGCTGCCAGATGCTAATGTACACCAGGCGTGAATGCCCTATTGTGATCACTGGGGTTGAGTGGCATCTTCTTTAGAACAGCATTCCAGGTGTAACATTCTGTGACCTGTTTAAAAGATCCCAAGTTATTACTTACTCTGCTCCAAGACCATCCTGTAGTTTCCAATGTTGCAGTTGTTGATTCACAGATTTCAGGCTTTCGTGTTTGGTTTGATGTTTCTTTGCATCTCAAATGGTCTATGACCATTTGTTAATGAGTTATTAACACTTATAACCTCCAAAAGGGAGCCTTATTTTAAAGTGTGAAACACTTCACCGTTTGTTAATCAGTTACTAACACTTATAACCTCCAAAAGGGAGCCTTATTTTAAAGTGTGAAACACTTCACCGTTTGTTAATCAGTTACTAACACTTATAACCACCACAAGGGAGCCTTATTTTAAAGTGTGAAACACTTCACAGTTTGTTAATCAGTTACTAACACTTATAACCTCCAAAAGGGAGCCTTATTTTAAAGTGTGAAACACTTCACCGTTTGTTAATCAGTTACTAACACTTATAACCGCCAAAAGGGAGCCTTAAAGTGTGAAACACTTCACAGTTTGTTAATCAGTTACTAACACTTATAACCTCCAAAAGGGAGCCTTATTTTAAAGCGTAAAACACTTCACCGTTTGTTAATCAGTTACTAACACTTATAACCGCCAAAAGGGAGCCTTATTTTAAAGCGTAAAACACTTCACCGTTTGTTAATCAGTTACTAACACTTATAACCACCACAAGGGAGCCTTATTTTAAAGTGTGAAACACTTCACAGTTTGTTAATCAGTTACTAACACTTATAACCTCCAAAAGGGAGCCTTATTTTAAAGTGTGAAACACTTCACCGTTTGTTAATCAGTTACTAACACTTATAACCGCCAAAAGGGAGCCTTAAAGTGTGAAACACTTCACAGTTTGTTAATCAGTTACTAACACTTATAACCTCCAAAAGGGAGCCTTATTTTAAAGCGTAAAACACTTCACCGTTTGTTAATCAGTTACTAACACTTATAACCGCCAAAAAGGGAGCCTTATTTTAAAGCGTAAAACACTTCACCGTTTGTTAATCAGTTACTAACACTTATAACCGCCAAAAGGGAGCCTTATTTTAAAGCGTAAAACACTTCACCATTTATTAATCAGTTATTAACACTCATTTAGTATGTGTTTACATTTATGCAATAAAAATCTTCACAATGTCATGACAACAGAAATGAGAAAAATAGTTTTATTTGCACAACAAAATACAAAGTTCAAAGGAGACTGACATTTAAACTGTCAACTAAATGTGAACAGACCTATATTATGGTAATTTACTCTTTAAATAAAAATGTCTTTGAAATAAACAAAATGTTACTCACCACATTCCTTATATCAGATTTTAAATTAAATCCATCTAAATGTTTACCAAGTCTCTACCTAAAAAAACAAACAGTTTTCAGTAAAAACCTAAACAAACCAAAAACAAACCTCACATACTGCTGCATTTTAAATTTTGGTTTTCACCTTAACTTAAAACAACATGCCACCTAAACTTTTAACACAACCAAGTGCAAACAGCCATTAAACAGGTTTGCTTCTCCTAATGGGGAGAAGTGTACACCCAGCCTTCATGCTTTCTATTTTCTCTTTCACATCTTCATCTCCTTGAATAGCAGCCTCACACCGCTTAGCAAAGGCCAGCACTGTCTCTCCACCAGGCTTCTTGGCCAGTACCTCTTCATATACCTCAGGAGCAGCAATAGCGAGCTCTCCAATCGCTGAAGTGGACACCACAGTGTTCCTGTCAATGGCATGCTTCTGGAAGGCCCTGGTCATGGTCTTTGCTTTTGGTAATGTTTTAAGGATGGATTTGTAGCGGCATACAATTTCACTTGGTGTTTGTACTAGACAGGAAAAAACAGAGACATGTTGTAAAAAGGTTTCACTGCAGAGAAAATCGTAGTAGTCAATCATGCTTCAACTAAAGTTGGGCAATATGATTAGTTATTAACAGACAAACAGGTGTCAAGTTACATTCAGCAAAACACAACTAATTTTGCCCTCTTTGCAGCTGAGAAATGTTTTTAAGTATTAACAATGTCCACAATATGCCCAGAAAAGCTTATTGTGACATACTGTGACATACACTGAGAATTTAAAACTTTCAGTATCCTATTCTATATTCCAGTCATTCTTTCAACTTTTTAGTTTTTGGTCATGTAATTATGATCACATTAAAGTTGCCAACCCCACAGTTAAATCAAAACTCCTGCGTGTGGTATGCTTATGGGCCGTTTACTTCATATACATGCCTATGCCTGGTCCGACCTATCAGCAGTATGTCCACGGTCAATGAAAGGAACACTTTCTAAAATCTCAGTGCATTAATACTAAATTCAATTGAAGTACACACTCTTAAGTGCAAGTATACAACTATTTTACATATTCCAAGCTATCAGATTTCAGAGCCGTAACAGCCCATTTTATAAATGATATTTTGATGAATTGAATCCTTAATTTTAAGCCTGCAAGTTCAAAGTAAATCGCCAACCAATTACAGTCGGTTATCAGTTATAAGAATTTGCCAAATTAAGCAAGATCCAAAATTTCATGGTTACTATTTCTGGGGCAGCTAGCATAGCTAACTACCATCTATGACTCTATACCTTAGAAGGCTAATAGCAACAGGCTGAATTCTGAAATCAAGACCTAACTCTAAACCTAAAGAAGAATGTTTTTGCATGACCTATACATGCTGCCAGTGCATAAACACCTCTGTAACAATTATTTGCGGCTTACCACGCTGTCGAAACTTCTTGTGCTCTTTCTTGTGTTTCTTAGCACCCTTGCTGTGCTTCTTTTTGGATTTGTGCTTGCGCTTCTTGGGGGTTGAAGATGAGGATGAGGATAAAGAAGATGAGGATGATGTATCAGAGCTTTCAGAATCATTCACATTGACTGGAGTGTCAATGGTTTCTTCCTTTGTTTTAACTGAAAAGTACGAAAAAAAACAAACACATTAACACATTACCTATTATTATAGGAAGAATGTGCCTGTAAGTGACTTGTTACAGTTGGAGAAGTTTAAAAACATTTATAACAATTCATCGAATACAGCTCTGATTACTTCCTGCAGTGATTCGGTCTCTGATCTAAGTGCTAGATTAAAGAAAACTCTTGACATTCTCGCTCCAGTCGAATGGAAGAAAACTTGCATACTCATAAAAATCCATGGATGAATAAGGAAATACACCAGCTCAAGAGAAACTGTTGTAAATCAGAGCGCTTATGGAGGAAAACTAAACTGCAGGTACATTATTCTCAAAGAGCAGATCTCCACCTACAATACTGCCATGAAAATATCCAGATAGTCATATTTCCCTAGTGTAATTAATAAACATATAGATAATACCAACATGCTTTTTTCTACCACAGACCAACTAATTAACCCTAACTTGTCTGCTAGTGTGTCTTATGGTGATTTATCTTCTAAAAGTTGTGAAGTTTGCAATTCATTTTCATAGTAAAATGAATCAACAGAATTCCTTCCATAAAATACAGAAAACGTGGAGAGACTCTTTCTGTTATTCTGCTTCTAAACTGTGGAGCTCAGTTCACATTTTATTAGACAGTCAAGCTCAGTGCTCACTTTTAATAAACATTTGAAAAAGCATCTCTTCAGTGTTTAATTAAAATTCTAAGTCTATTTGAATTCTTTTAATTTGATTTGTGTCACTGTCTTGTGTAATGCTATATAATTTTAAATTAATACTTAGAATTTCTTGTATTATTGTTAAACATTATCACCTGTCTGCAAAGTACTTTAAGTTACCACTGGCATGAAAAGATTCAACTCTACAGATTATTATTACTATTATTATTATTATTATTATTATTATATACACATACTGCAAATACTTTAATTCATAGAAGTGGTCCATATACTTAAAAGTGAGGCTAGGTTATTTTCTATTGCCCAGTACTTATCATATAATGCTTATAACTCTTTTGTTGATGTACCTGTGAGGGCAGACAACTGTCCACGGAGAAAATCTCTCTCTTCTTCCAGTTCTTCAATCTTCTTCTTCTGCCATTCCAACTTCTCCTTTAGAAAGGTCAGTTCTTGTTTCTCCTTGTTAAGAAGTACTGTTGCAGTAGGGGCTAGGTCAGAGGCTGAACCTAAGAAAACAGACATTATAAAAATTAGAATGGTAGAACATTTGCTTAATTCAAACTCTACATTGTAATTTTTGCTCTTGCCATCTGACCACAATAGACTGGCTGACTGGTAAAAAATCTCAAAGCCAAAAAAAAAAATGCTCAGACTCAATTGATTTTCAGGATAAATGTAAAAAATATAATCACTAGCCATTGTAAATACAACACTGACAGCTCCAATTTACAGATTTCATGTCATATTCACTAGCCACATTCACGTCTTTCATGTAGCTGATCTTTGTTGGTGACATTTCTGCCAGTCAGCCATAAAGGCTCACATCCACAAAAAGGTTAACAAGTATAAATACTGGGACCAGACCGTGCTAGTCAGTTAGCAGTTACAGTCTGGAAAAACACATATTTATAACTTGTTAGATAGTGAGACTTAAAATATTCTAATTGGTCTAACTCAAGGCCATAACAATGTAATTTATTGCCTGTAAATTATGGTGGGCACGTCCTTCTTATGGTAGAGTTTGGATTTTGTGTTTCAATGTGTTGCAGAATTCAATTTCAAAATAAGCTGATTCTTTGCGGAATATTACAGGTGTCTGCACAAATTATGAAACGGGGTGGAAATGTTGAGTTGTTGTAAGGTAACCACCCCAATGTACAGGATAATTACCAAGTGGCTCTATATCTTTACTAAAGCTCAGGACATATCCTTCTTTCCAACCTGATTCTATTCTACAGTGTCTGACAGGTGTCAACACCAAGGCTCAATCAGTTTTTAGTTTTTAGAAATTATTAGTTTTGGCCATTTAACTCACCACAATGTATATTGTATTTATAAATACATGCATATATAACAGACTATATCTTCAAGTCACATGATTTGTTCTTCATTCTAACTTGAATCTATTGTACAATATCAAAGTGTCAACACTAGGTTTGACTCAGATCTGTACTGTACATTTTGAGCTTTAGAAAAGTAAACTGACATTATTAATGCATGCCAATACATTTGTCCCCATATCTTTCTACAACCTCAAAATAGATACCCCATTCCAAGCTTTTTTTTTTGGCCATTTGAGGCACTCATACTTTATGAAAACATGCACACAACTTTGTAGTTCTACAGTTACAGACGGTAGTCCCTCTGTCTCTCTGCATACTTTCTTACCCTGTTCTTCAGTGGTCAGGACCCCCATGGACCCTCACAGAGCAGGTATTATCAGCAGTGCAGTGAAACTGACGTTGTGGTGGTGTGTTAGTGTGTGTTGCCCTGTTACGAGTGGATCAGACACAGAAGCACACAATGTACAAGCCTATATAGCGAGCTGCTTGAAATTAAATTAATCCTCTAGTTTTCCCAGTTCTCTTTCCCAACATGATGATTAAAAAATAACACTTTCTTTTGGTTTTCAGCTGAATATTTCCTGAATTATGGTTTCAGTAGTAAAATTTTCACTACTTACAGATATACTGGATACCTGGTTACCTTACCACAACTCAACATTTTCACCATGGATCTGTTTAGAAATTGGTGTAACATCTAGCAAAGTGTCAATTTTCTTTAAAAATTAAATTCTGCAACACATTTAAACACAAATCCAAACTCTGCCATATTAACTGTTTCAAAGCTTATGTGAACACTTTTTAGGTTAAACAGAAACATATACACCTTAAAACTGAAGCATACTGTTATTTTTGTAATTATTATTATTGCTATTATCATTATTATTATTAAAATAGTTCACTACAAAAACGTAGGCTAGAAGTTGCGGTCAGGAAGCACAACGCGGTTGCAAAGCACTACCGTTATATTCCTAATATTTCAACACGTGATTTTGGTGCAAAAAACAACCTAAACATATCTACAAAACCGAACTATGGACGAATACGTTCGCTTATTTACCTCTGTGGAAAGCTATTTCACTTCAGTGGCACTGGAATATAACAACATATGCAGGAAAACCGTTAAGCGAGTTAGCTAACGTTAGCTAACTAGCGGTTAGCTAGCTTAGCAACCTCTGTGGCGAACTAGCTAGCTAACTACTACCCAGCCAAGTAAGGTCTGGTAACGTTAGACAGCTACCAAATAGTTTAATTAGCTGATGGACAGATAATAAAATAACATGAAAAACTTACTTTCTCGTTCATCTGTTGAGACTTGGCGCATCTGCTGACGCCTTGGGACCCTCTTAGGACGAGTACTGGCAGCAGAGGTCGCAGAGGAACACGATTCTTTTCCATCTAGATTGTCCATGATTCTTAAAAAAAGACGTCTACGGCCAAGCCCGGGTGAGGCGGTAGCGCGCGTCATCAACAAGCTTGCCTGTGATTGGATGTTTCCATATCATCGTCTGTGGTTGGATCTTTACTTTCTAGCGCCAAAATCGTGTTTGGATTGTATTTTCTTCACCTAAATCGACTGGAAGCAGACGGCACCATATACTCTGCGCTAGGAGACATCCACAACAGGTAAGCTTTGCAAATTGCAAACCTGAATGACCTTTTTAAACAGCAGAATAGATGCAATGAGATAAATAAAGTAAAGGGTGACATGAGCCAATTTATTGCTATAATTCTGATATGCACCTTCAATTCAGCAATACTGTTCTATATAAATGCTATAATACCCATATTTTTAAACTAGTTATTCCCCCTCGTGGACACATTTAATTATTTTGGATTCTGGATTCTATTACTTATTACTTATTGTACTTTAGTGTGCAGTCTTTCTAGTGTGAATAGTTTTACCATATAAAGTGAAAAATTAAATTATGCCAAAAAGCTGAAAAGCTTGTATCATAAAGGTATTTCAGACATGTTTTTGTTAATTGTCAGTGTGTACTCCCTCAGCAGAATGTCTCTGGAAACAAAGTTGCGGGCCCGGATTGAAGGAAAACAAACAAAAAGCAAGACACTGAAGTTAATTAAGTGGTTGCAGAAGAAACACCTTCTAAAGGAGAAGATCAGATGCACTCTTTGCCACCACAAAATGAAAATGGTATCTGTGACGAAGAAGGACCAGTACATCTGGTAGGTGAAATGGCCTGCTAATTTCCACTGAACAGAACATCACACTTATACTAAAATTATCATAAACATTATCCTTTTTCTTCTCATTATTATTTTATTATTACTATTACTATTATTATTATTACTAATAAATAAATTACTAAATCTACAGGCATGTTTAGTTGCTGCTAAATCATTAATAGTAACGCAGTGTGAAGTGTGTGCAATATATCACAACATGATGTAATGTAGAAAAACACAATGATACATGTTTGGCATGTTTACAGGTGCTGTAAAAGAGCAGGTCATGGAAGAGTCTCAAAAACTATCAGAGCTGGCTCCCTGTTTGAAAAGTCTAAATCATCTCTCTTCAGTTGGATGAAGTATATTTACAGGTGCTATACTGTATTTTTGTAAAATGAAAAATAGCAATATAAGACTGTCTTTTATAAATGCATTATAAACACATACTTTTAAGGTACGCACATGGCTACAGAAGTCTTATCAGTATGTATTACATTATTTCTTTCTACTACAGATTTTCACAAGGACTCAGGCTCAGACAGATTGATATGATCAGTGATGATATTGCTGGCAGCTCCACAACACTGACAAAAATGGCAAGGTGCATTCGGGAGGTTTGTATTTGTGCAATGGACAGACACAGAAGGAAGAGCAGGCAGTGTCTTGGTGGTCGAAAAGAGTTTGTTGTGATAGACGAGAGCTGCTTCCGTCATCAGCGAAAGGTTTGTACACCTTTTCAGTTTGTTTAAAAAGTGAGCTTCTTAAAGACACTGCTATTGAGTAGCCCACACATACACATACTAGGCCTGTCACGAACATGAAATTTTATCTAACAATTAATTGCTATGTAGTTAATTGTGATTTTTTTTATCATTGTATGCGACAAAT